TTTCCCTCATACTGGAATGTCCTGTCCTTTACCTGTGAGGATCATCATTGCCATGTACACTTGCACAGTAAGATTGTAATTGCTGTCTGGCCCTAACCCTTCCTTAGTGGTTTAAACTGTTCTACTTAAAAGCAGAATGAAGCATTCTAATGTTTCCGAGGGTTTCTGTTTCACTGTAAGAAGAGAGCTCTGATTATATCTCTTAATTCCTGTACATCTTTATTGGCTTCGCTTTTGCCACATAATATCTACAGATGTTTTTGTTTCTGACTTTGAACAAGAGTACACCAGTGGTAGTAGAATAAAATAAGCTATATGTTTCAAGCAGCTATGAAATTTGACCTTATGTTCTAGTCAATATTGTTTCCCACTAACTATTTCTATATTCTAAGATACAAGACCTTACTGATCACAATATGCTGTTGTCAGGCAAACATGGTTCTGACAAAACCTTTGTTGTTTTTTTGGTCACATTGCAGCCATTTTCAGTACAGGCATGGAAGGGAGCTGAGGGGATGAACATTTTTGGCTTAACAACTTAAATATGCATGGATCTTGTTTTCCATATCTATTGGAAAAGAGAACCTTGTCCCACTATGCACCAGGAAATCTTTTGAGAAATTCATTTTTGACCATAAGGACTACCTTATAGAAATGGGAAAATAGCTTATCAGGCCCTTTGTGGTAGGGCAAAAAGCCAGTGGAAGTTGTAGCAAAATAAATTTAGCAAAACTCCTCTCGGGATATGGGAACAATGTGACAACAAAGCACATTGTCTAGAGAAGTAATTTCTAGAAATACTTTTCACTTTAATATTTCATGGTAGTTTTTCATGGCAGAGCAAGCTTGTGAAAAATCATCCATGACTGAATTCATTGGTCTTTTTAGGCCCATTGTGCCCATTTTCATTTTGTCTGTTATATTACCTTTTGTTTCTGGGTCATTGTCTGCACATGGTATGGCTATATACAAATGCTTAATACAAATTGCTAATGAAAATGTTGAACACTAGAATTATGTTTTAAATATGTTCCATTATGGAATTGGTCCATAGGTATACTTTGGATTTATAACTGTTCAACATCAGTGTGCAAGATGCACATGGCAGCACTTGTTGACTCTCTGAGCTGATTCCTTGGTATTCCCATTATCCTGGAACAGAGCACATAGGAAGAGAAACAGTTCTGCTCTAGTTGGTGAATAAACTGGAAATGGAAGCAGGGAGAAATGGACCAGTCCATGGAAGAGCAGAAGCAGGAAGGTCCTGTGTTGTGATTCAGGGAATATACTAGTATGGTGGCCTGTGTAATCACAGTAGTTAGTGTTGAGCTGACCAAGTTAGTCTTGTCTCACATCTTTGTACAATAGGGGCTACATAATTTTCTCCTTCTGCTCCCCACCTTTCAGAAATACTAGCATTATGAGGGGGAGGTCTTCTTATGACTGATCCCATAAATTCAGTAACTGATGATATTGCACCCTGCAGTTTGTGGTCATCTCTGCAGAACAGTCTTTTTGTCGTGTTTTGTTGTTGGTGATTTTTAACCTGATTTGTTTGACTAATATAAATTAATTAATTTAAAATAAAACTCTGTTTGCTTAAACCCATTTGGATTGTAAAATGGAGAATGTTTTCATAGAGGTCATCAATAGAAGATCATCTTTACTGTGGGTCAACTCTATAGTTTTCATTCACATGCCGTTTATAAGGATGTAGCAAATGCTTTTCTTTCCAAGAGCATAGATGGAAGATGGAAGGAAAGGGCTGCATTTCTCTTTTACTTGAAAGAAAGCTTCTTATTCATATCATATGGTTGTTTGTTTATATATTTCTTTATTCACATTTATATCGCACCCTTCCCGCAAATGGGCTCAGGGCAGATCACAATTCACACTTAGGCCTTACGGCACTACAACAAAATAGTAATAGTAATAGTAATAATTAATTAAAACCATTAAAACAGCATTAAAACAATATATATCAGTTTTGTAAAGTCCCCAATACTGGCATTGCTGAAATTCAAGGCTGTATAGTCCAGAGTGCATAAGATGGTATCTTCAGCAGGGGCCCCAGCTTTTTTGGCGGGACAACTCCGTTTTGCAGGCCCTGCGGAATGGTAACAGTTCCCACACGACCCTGATCTCACACAGGAGCATTCAGTCATGGGTGTAAAAATAATACTTCTGTAACAGACATTTCTATGGTGGATTCTTTTGCAGGTCTAAATACCAGAAAAGTTACTGCTGAATGCTTGTTGATAGACTCAATCGGAAGACTCAGAGGTGTTCATACCACTCTGTGAAGTGGTTTTATATTCAATATGAATTACCTCCAGAGGTCTGCAAAACTAAGATGACTGCAGATCTTTTCACCCTTCCTGTCATTTTTATTGCTATTATATCTTCTTTTTCACAGTGACTTTGAACCTGAATGGCTGGAAAGTGTACAGAAAAATGGAGAATTGTTCTACCTAGAACTAAGTGAAGATGAAGAAGAAGCCATCCTTCAAGACAGTTCTGTGGATGTGCCTGTGGTGAACCATGTCAGGTTTTGTGAAAATGAACCTGAGGTTATTCATGAGATATCTCGAAAACATAGACAAAATGAGCGCAAATTGGAAAAACTCACTAAAATGTTAAAAAATAAAAATCTTATATCAAAACAGTCTTTAAAGAAGAAAGCAACTGGTAAACGTGATGTACGAGCTTCTGGTCCAGCATCCATCTTGAAGCACCATTCCAGTCATAAGGTGGGAGTTGTCGTCCAAAAACAGTACAAAGATGTTTATATTTACATAAATCCAACGAGGCAATCAAATGCCGAGACAGGAGAACAGCTCAAGCTTTTGGAGTCATTAATAGGAATTGCCCATCAGTCTCCATGGCGAAAAGCTGAAAAACACAGACACAGTACTGAGTCCAGAAATGCTGAAGAAGAGAAACTTGTTGTGCATGGCTTGATTCCAGGCAGCTCAGCAATAAGGTCTGGTGAAATCTTGATTGGTAAGTGCCACAATTTATTCAGTTCTGGAGTTTAAATGACTTTCAGACCAAGGCTGTTTCCATATGGATGTTCTGCTCCAACTTGGCGTCCTTACAGCAGTGCTATTTTCAAGAGCATCCACATGACATTGTCTTCTGTTTGTCCTTCTTTTGTGCCTCCCTGGTTTGTTGTGATTGGAACAACCTTTTTGGAAAGATAGTTCCAATAATGTCATATTGATGGGAAGGTGTGCATTTTTTCATGTGCCTATTTTGGCACTATTTTCCTTACTGTGGCTCCCACAGCTGTAGTTTCCCACACACACCACTATTGGCTTTTTTAAAATGTAGTAATTGACAGTTTGCTATAGCATAATAACAACAGTCCATTACAACAATTTCCTTGTTCCCAACTTTCTTTTTTAAAAGAAAAATAAGTTTCTAGCCCATTCCCTTGCAGAGTTTTAAGGCAAAATGTGAAGCCAGTACATTTTCCCCTTATATAACTTATAACAAAAAGTGCTAGAGACTTTTTAAAAATGAAAGCTGGGAATTAGTACATTGTTGCCATAGATTATTATGCTATAGCAGTCTGTCCATTACTGATTTTTAAGGCCTCAAGTGGTTACAGTGAAATGGCAGTCATGAGAGGGATGAGGCAAGGAAAGTGCTAGGGAATCCACAGTGTGAATGTTCCTGTAATGCCACTGTAAATGCTGGCACAAACACAGAGACAATGAAAGCAACATGGAGAATCATCTCTGTGTAGGGGTAGCCCAAATAACAATATTCTGATTGGGTAAAATGCAAGGGGCCTTGTCCTTGATTAAAGAATCCTAACCGTAATTTGGCAATAGACTTTGCCCCATAGCTCGTGTTACATATTATGCGGTCAGGATAGGAATTTATTTATTTTTTTAAGTTCAAATAGTCTCCAGTGGATGTTTCTGGGTCTCATTCTGGATAATTTTGTCTGAGCAAAAGTATTTATTTATTTATATCATTTCTAACCCTTTTTCAGCAGACTCAAGCTTTGTAGTGGGCTCAATGCCTAGCACACATTGTAATAATGTGATTCTGGTAAACACTGTAACAGGAATCTGGGGAAAGTGTCAACACTACTGAAGGGCTTTCTGTGTCCTCCCACTGTTGGTGCCACTGTTTCTGCACACTGACAACTTTGGCTAAATCTTGAAAACAAGAAAGAGTGATGTCATTTGGTGTGGGTGGAGTCTGCTACTGGATTTGACTTTTGGGAGTATAGTAATGCAGGGCTCTGTGAGGGTTGCTGACTGTTCTAAAATGGTAAGTGTGAAGCAGTAAAAACTACTTATTACTTATTTAAGAAGTAACTGCATTATTTGCATACTATGGACAAATAGAGAGCTGAGAGGAACCTGAGGGGGAGGGGAAATCCACTGCTTTCTCTCCTATTGAGTGCCCTATTCCTCCTCTTCTCTTCCCATTACTGCTATCATCTTACTCCCTCCCACACAATTATTTTGCTGTCTCGTTCTCCTCCCCACTTTCTGTTCTATCTCCCAGCCGCCACCAGCCAGCTGATGGGGAGGGGGGTAGGCCTGAGCTAGGAGCAGAAAGCATCTGCTCTGAGCCCAGCCCTCATCTCATCAGCTTTCTGACAGTAGCGAGTGGAACAGAAAACATGCAGGTCTGTTGTCCAGCTGGTCCCTGCTTTTTCCTGCTTCTTTTTCCCCTCCCACCGACTGCTGCTCTTTTTCACTTTTTTCCTTCACCACACTTTTCTCCCTTTGCCATGCCTCCTCCTTCCCTTCCATGTCTTTTTCATCTTCTCTCCCGCTCCACTACTTTTCATCTCCTTCTCTGACCCTGAGAGCACTGATTACTGACATCAGCAATGTTTATAGGGTTGCGGTGCAAGCACCCTTGCCATGGTGGTTGGGATCTTGTGGGATGTCATTTTCCCACCTTAACTTGCATGGAGGGGTTAAATTCCCCTCACCATTTTTTTCACTTCTCTGCTTTTCCTGCAAAAATAAGAATCCCCCCAGATTTGTAGAACAATTCCCCGATCTGCATATGGCCCCATTGTGCTGATTTTTAAAAATCCAGACTCTAGGGGCCTATTCAGAATTAGCTATAAAGATGTGCACAGTTTACTGTTCTAAACTAAAATTAACACATAGAACTAAGGACTGGACATTCTAATTTTCACTTAAGATTAGGGAGGAAAGCTGCTAAAAATGAAAGAGCATATGTTTTGAACATGCTGTGTGAGAGCAAATATGGCTACAGCAAATCTGACTGCATCCACAAGGAATGTTATGTATAAATATTTTATTAGTCTTTACAGTTGTATTTACAAGGGGAACTGGAGGGCTAGGCTTCATGTAATGTGTTGCTTTGGGTCCTTTTGTAGGAGAAAAGGAGGACTGGAGTGTTTAAAATAAATAAAATGTAAATAATATTTTGCACAATGTGCTTGAATAGTAAACACTGTTCCCTCAAAATAATCATCTTTTTCTCAAATGTCCGTCTTTCTTACCTTTTTTCACCATAAAATGGCCTTATTTTAAGAGTGCTACTCTATTTAGTTAGACTATTTCTGTGTCTTCTCTTAATAGTCCTGCTTGAGGCGCCTTACAATTAAAAATACATTGGACACAGGCAACAAAAAACTATCCATAAAACTGAAGCAGACTATTAAAGCTGATAAGATAAAATCCCTAATTAAAGATTAGGGGAAAGCTGTGTTTTAGCCTGATGCATAAATGAAAGTAAAGCAGGTGCCAGGCAAGCCTCAGGTGGGAGAGCATTCCAAAGGCAAGGTGCCACCACAGAAAATACCCTGTCTCTAGTCACCACCTGCCTCACCTCTGAAGGCAGGATCACAGAGCAGGGTTCTTGAGAGGCAGATCTAGGCTGGATAGTATGGGAGAAGACAGTCCTTCAGGTACCTTGGCCCAAGCCATTTAGGGCCTTAAAGGTAAGGACCAGCACTTTGAATTGTGCTACTGCTTTTGAGGGTTATGGTAGTTCTGGCTAATGCCATATAGTACAATACTACTAAGATCAGTTGTAAACAGAGGTGTAATTCCTCTATTCTCCAGTATGTTGCTAAGAATGAAATGTATTCTGAAGGCCACTGAACCTTTAAAATGTGTTGCTTTGATCTGACAGACTTCTACTTTATTTAGGCATAAGAAAACTTGAGAAACAAGCAATGGAAAAATTAAAACTATTTTTTTGTTAAAAAGCAAAGTAGCAACATGGAAGAATAACCAAGTTATCAACAACTGTTTTATATTCCAGTCTGGGTTTGATTCTGTCCTTTTTCAGTCCTTTGGTTTTGAGTGAGCAAATCTGCTACATCCCCTGCCAAGTCCTATACAAATATATAATTTTCATATAAAATTCTTCAAAATTATAGATCTGCAGTGAAAACTGGGTACTTGAGATTTAAATATGGCATATAGCAAACTGTGGGTTGCATGAAAGTCATAGATTTCACTGCAGTTGGCAGAAATAAATTATAATTAAGTTGAAACATATCAATCTTTTTAAAAAAATGAAATACCTTTGCCAGATTTTGCATTTTGGGTAAAAATAAAATATACGTTAGCATTGTATATTTAGAACTGGAAGAAAAGTATTAAGAAGCTGTGCATTTCAACCTAAAATGAAATAAGCCTTCTAAGAAACTTTCAACAGTCTGAAATGGCAAAGATCCACTGAAACATTGTGAGATTCAAGAAACCTCTACCCCATTTTCCTTCCAGGACTATGTCTCAAGGGTTTGAATGGGAAGCACTGACAAATAAATGAGCTGTTTTTTAAGCTGAGAAGCACAAGGAAAAAACATACCTGTTAAAACAAGGCAGATGTGATGCAGTGTATTCTTGTTCTCTTGGATCAGTACGAGTCCTGTTCTTGCCTAGACCGTTCAGCAGAACAGAGAGTGCCTCAGATCTATCCCGTATCCTTCCAAACTGCCATGTAGACTGAGTAGTCTCCTGTTGATAAATTTTATTATTATAGTCTTCTGCAATGATTATTCTAGGGATTATCCTGCTCTTATTTGCTTTACCTTTGTAATTCCACTTACTACTCTGTTTATAGTATACCTTGCCTTGGGCAGTTTGTTGTTCACATTGTCTTGTAATTCTGCAATCCCAGGCCTATTGAATTGTTCTTTGGATATTTTATGCTGTGTGAATTAATTGTTTCTACCCTGTAATCCACCTTGAGTCTCAGTGAGAAAGGCAGGCTATAAGTAATTATATAGATAAATAGATTACACATCATGAGTCAATAAAATCAACAAATGGGACATTCAATAAAGAATTGATCCTGTTGGATAGGCAGCAGCAGTATTTGCAATTGCAGCATTTGTTTGGTATGCCTATTGTGAAGCGATCTCTCTCGCAAGGCCTCTTACACCTTTTGAGGGCTTACTGAGAGAGGGTTGGTCTTCCTTTAAAGGACTGATAAACTATATGACTTCTTGTTGCAGTTGGAGAAACCGAAGACCTTTTCTTATCAAGCCCAATGGCAGATTGATTGTGGTTGCGATCACACAGAACAGCATTGGTTAAAAAAAATGGAATTCTTATGTTTACAAAAGTAAAGTTATCAATATACACATCCAATACTTTGAACTTGTAACACAGTGGTATCTGACTCCAGCCACACTTGCACATATTCATAATTCAGACAAACCACATTGTTTGAAACTGTGTGGCCCTCATGGTAACTATATTCATTGTTGGTGGTCATGCACTTACATTGAAACCTTTGGCTACAAGTTGAGGATCATATTTTTGTGATTACAGGTCACAGATTACAGCATCATCCAGCGGTGTTATTACTTAATATAGGGGTAGGGCTTGGTATATCATGGTCTGCATTGAGGCTTACAGAACTCTTTTTAGAGACAGCTAGAATGGCTATAGCCTCTCGGTGGAAGGCTAAATATCCACCAATAATTGGCTTGTGGTTTAATAAACTATGAAATATTTATATTATGGAGAAGATAGCTTATCGTATTAACAGTTGTAGTGGTTTAGTGACTGTCACCCGCAGAGTAGTTAGGATCACACCCTGTCATAGTGAGGTATTTATATCATAGACTCATTCAGTCCCTCTCTTTTGGTAAAGTATTATAAGCTGAGAATATAATATAAAGCATGAATTGTGCAAACAGGTGGTAGTCTTCTTCACCCTTCTGAACAAATTGTCCACATCCTTAGGCTGTAAACAATGGAAATTTATCCAAATAAATACAGCTAGACAGCTCTTGGGTAGAATTTGATAATTGTGCTGCTTCTTAAGTGGCATGCATAGCAGAATTAATATAAATTACTTTATCCACAAAATATTTAGCAGAGTCGACCAGGGGCTCATCATCGGGAGGATGTCCCATAGCTTCACTGGATGGCATTTTACAAATGCAATAGTGGCAGGATGAAGTTGGCTCAAAATGTTACTGAGATTATCTCATAGATGCTTTTAAAGTGTTTAAACATAGCTATTGGTAAACTTTTGTCTATACTATATCTAAAGTAGCAAAGCAGGACAGTCACATCCTTATGTTTTTTAAGGCAGGTGTTTGAAGGGCATACTTCTGCACCATATTTATAATTATTTATGTACTTTAATAACCATATAAAGTATGTGCCACAAAGTTATTCTATTTTTTTTCAGTGAATATTATACTTCACAATGCCAAGCCAAAGAAAATTATGATCCAAAAACCTACACAGTTCCGTTCATTGATTCAGAGGCTGCTTTCTCCTGCCCTCCCTCCCCATGAATGTCCCTCATCCTTTCAGTTAGAATAATGTTCAGGTAAACAAGTTGTGTTTGGAATAAATGGCATTATATATAATCTGTTGCAAAATGTTGTGAGTAAGCGTTTTAAGTTGCCCAGTTTGATTATTTGTATTTATGGATTTATTTCTACAATGCAGCTGCTCTTAAAGCTTGTCAGGAAATTGTCATGGTGGGGCCATAGCTCAGTGGTAGAGCATCTTTGCATGCAGAAGGTCCCAGGTTTAGTCCACAGCATTTCCAGTCAAAAGGAGGAGGTACGAGGTGATGTGAAAGACTTCTGCTTGAGACCCTGAAGGGCCAGTCTGTCTAAACAATGTAGACCTTGATATTCCAATGATCTGGTTTTAGTAAAGTAACTGTGTATTTTAACCCCATTTCTTAATTAATGCATAACGTCAACTAAGTGGTTCACCATTAATTTTTCTGTATTTGAAGTAAGTCACCTGGCCCATAAAAAGGAGCAAGAGCCACAACAAGGGGTATCCATTGGAAACTGGCATCCTTTCTTACTTTTGTAACCATGACCTCTTGTGCAGATTTCTCTCTCATATAATAACCAGCAGGAATAGTCTATGGAAAAGTGAATAGCTTTGATAATCCAGTAATTATATTTTAAATATTCAGTCTCCTTCCAACCACAATTAAATATGAATGCTACAGCTTCATACTAAAATAATCTTCCTCTGCTGAGCTATTTTATACAGTTAAGTGCATACAATTTTATTTGTTTTTTTCCTCTGGTTCCCTCTTGCTTAATTAATGGTTGCCTCCTGTTTTAAACTGTTCAGCAGAACTTTGATAGGGTTGGGACAGGTATACAGAGACAACCGTTCATTTGTTAATGGCCACAAAACAAACACAATTCAAAGTGGTGTTGGACAGAACCTCTGTCCTGGTTGTGTTTGCCCAGTGATGACCATAGACATAGGAGCAAATATATAAAAGAAGGAAACCAGATAATACCACCATGCACTTCTACATGTCTTAAGAAATCCAACCCAAATAAACCTGTGACATCAAGGTGTTATCAATTTTTGTTCAGTATGAGCAGTGTATTTGAGATCTGGATATTTGGGTTGCACCTTCCAGAAATGAGCAAATATTTGCTAGACCGGTAATGATACATGTGAACTAGACTTGGAGGATGTGTTAAGGAGAAATTTTTGCCCTTAGCGACTTACCGGCGCATCATTAGAGAAGCCTCCCTAACCCTTTAAGAATCCAAGAATTAGTACACTGTCACATTCAAATGTGATATGGTGCTTTCCCCATATTGCCTTGTTGTTGGCAGTTTGTTCTTTAAGCTGTGCTTACTGTGTAATACACTGCCTAAAACCACTTCTACGTGGCCATTTTTCTTTACCTTGGCTTTCTTACAGCAGCATTGTTTTCAGGATCATCCACATGACACCATGTTGTTGCTTTGATTTCCCCCCCCTCCTTTGGTACAAATTTTTTAAATTTTATTTGATGTGATCATTTTGCATTGCAAACAAAGTGCCTTTGAACACTGTTTGGATGGGAAGGTGTGCATTTTTGCAGGTCCCAAACACAGTGTCACCATTTTCCTTCCTTCAGTCCCCACAAACACCAGTCTCTCCACAAACACTGGAAGGCTTTTTCAGGCTTTTTGTTAATCTATTGCAGAAATGTACCAATTCCTTGATTTCATTTTTTAAAGTAAGTCTAGCTCTTTCAGTTGCAGAGGTGTTAGGGAAAACACACAGGTTGTACATTTCTCCTTATAACTCCACAGCAAAAAGGACAAGAGCCTTTTGTTGTAATGAAAGCCTGGATCGAGTAGGATATGGCAATAGATTGTTGTAATGCTACAGCAAGCTGTCAATAACCAATCTTTTAAAAAGTTTGAATAAAGCCCTCCAGCATGGGAGGGAGCTGGTGACTAAGGCAACAAAATTCCAGAAAATACTGCCACGTGGATAGCCTGTTGTCACTGCATTCACAGTACCTCTGCATTCACAGTAATAATAAGACCTACATGAAGAAATGTATCTGTGTGGAAGCAACCTCAGATGTTCCCAGAGATGTCTTGTGTGGCTAGCAGGGTTGCCAACCTCCAGTTGGAGGCTGGAGATTTCCTGCTTTTACTCTCTTTTTTTTTAAGCCCCTGGAGGGGATTTTTATTGCATTTTTTTAAACTACAAACTACAACAGAAAATAAGTATGGGAACTACATTTAAGGGATAACCCACTACTGACTAAAAACCAAAGAGAGGAGATCATCTCACCATTTTAGACAAACATTTAGTCTTAATCTCATTAATCTTACTATCAACTGAGTCAAATTTAACATTAACTTTTCTAAGTCTTAAGTTTAAAGTTTAATTGTCATACAGAAATACCCCAGAGCATCTCATTTCAACATTTTATAAAGGCACAATTCAGAGTCCTTCAACCTTTACTTCTCCTTGCCTAATCTCTTCCGGAGTTTATAAGGACTTTTAGGGGCTGCTGCCCCTTTCTCTGAAAGAGAGTCCTCTCCGGAAGATTCCGAGTCCAGCTCGCCATCGGACTTACTGTCCATCCCTTTTTTCCCTTCTTCCCCTGGCTCACCCAACTGGACTCTTAAAATTTCCCGTGCTTTCTGAACAGAGTCAATCTTTTCTTTTTTGTCCTTGATTTTGAAGGTTACGACTTCTGGAGTTAACCATCTATATCCAATTGCATTTGTCTGTAGAAAAAGAGTTAATTCTTTATATTTCTTTCTCCTTTGTCTTATCTCAAATGGAATACTTTTCAACGTTCTGATGGTATTCTCCCCCACTTTCAGAGGTGCTCCAGATACTGCTATCAGGATTGCATCCCTCACATGCCTCTTCGAGAATCTTACCACAATTTCCCCAGGCAGATTATTTTTCTTTATATATCCTGAATATGACCTGTAGGCCACATCCATATCGTTTAACAAACATTCCGCCTTCATATCTGTCACTGGGGCCAATGTTTCACTCATTAGTTCCTTAAGATTCTCTCCCTTAGTCTCTAGCATGCCCTGGAAGCGAAGAATCATATTAGCCTTTTCCATTTGTAGTTGTAACAGCTGATCTTCCGTAGAAACTTGCTTCTTTTCCAGCTTTTGAACTTTCTTTTTCACCTTTTGTGCAGTGGCGTCCACTTCTTTCACCTTCTCAGCTGTTTCATTCATCATTTTAAGAGTCTCATTTATCTGTCTTTGCTGGGTGGTGATACACTGAGTCATTTTTGACATCTGATCCTTTATGTTATTCATCTGGTCCAGTAGGGGGCGCATGGATTCTACCGAAGTCTTTGCCAGCTCGTTGGTTCCTTCCGGTTTGGGACTCTCCGTTAGTTTCGATTTCAGAAGTTTCTCTTTCTCCGTCCTCTTTCCCGCCATCTTTATCGATTGTGAGATTTCCTGGTTTTACAATGGATTTCCAGACTCCAGTTGACAGAGATCAGTTCCCTAGGAAAAAATGGCTGCTTTGGAGGGTGGACTGCATAGCATTGTACTCTGCTGCATTTCCTCCCCTTCCCAAACACTGCCTTCCCCAGCCTCCATCCCCAAAATCCCCAGGTATTTCCCCACCCAGAGCCGGCAATCCTAATGATTAGTTTAGGAATGCGGTTGACTGATATATGTACATGTCAATTGTAATTTTTTAAAATAAACTGCTGATAGGCAGGATATGAAAGCTTTCTCTGTTGAGGAAAACAGGAGGAACTGCCTAGTGAGCATATTCATATGATTATTGCCAGAAAAACATCAGTTCTCTTTGTGGAATTGTGTTCTGTCCCCACTTGTATTGTGTGTTATATTTTATCAATGTTCATTGTTTAACTATCATACAATAATGATGAAAGAGCAAGACATAGCTCATGAGGAAACTTAACTAATTAACAGTCAGTCTTCACTATAATTTAGCAGACATTAACTTTCTGTTTGGGATATTTTTAAAGAGCTGCTATCTCATGTGGTGCCTGTCTGGTGCTTTTTTAAAATCTTGCTTTTGCTTCCAATCTTAGGAGATGTTCTTGTTGCGGTCAATGATGTTGAAGTCAATTCTGAAAATATAGAAAGGGTTTTATCTTGCATTCCAAGTCCTATGCAGGTATAGTAATACATTGTGAGTTTTCTTTTCTTTTTTTAATTAAAAGCACTAGGACAGGCCTGCATACCTAGTATCTGGGCTTTTACAATAAATGTACAGGTCCTTACATAAACACTTTTTCCTTCTTGATTATATCTTCCCTGCACAGTTTGGGGTCATATGTTGAATTGTTAATACTGTAATGAGGAATGTAGTGTGCCCTAATAAATCTTGCCTAAGGGAGGCTGCCAGGCTTAAATCACATAAAGGTAAAGGTTCCCCTGCTCGAAAGCCAGTCGAATCCGACTCTAGGGTTGCGGTGCTCATCTCCGTTTCAAAGCCGAAGAGCCAGCACTGGCCGAAGACGTTTCCGTGGTCATGTGGCCAGCATGACTAGACACCAGGGCGCACGGAACGCTGTTACCTTCCCACCGAAGTGGTACCTATTTATCTACTTGCAATTTCTTGCTTTCGAACTGCTAGGTTGGCAGGAGCTGGAACTAGAGACGGGAGCTCATTCCGTCATGCGTCAACTCAGGTCTCGAACTGCTGAACTACTGACCTTCCACAGCCTGCAGTTCAGTGTCTTAACCACTTGAGCCACCGCAGCTCCTAAATCACATACAAGTGTGCATTTGCATTTATTTTAAGCATAATTAATGTTCATCAGGTTTCTTCTTAACTTTCTAACCATCTGTGAAGCCCTTGTTTCATTTCTGGTTAAGAAAGTTCCCAGGTAAGTGTTACATCAACAGTTGTGTGTAACCTGGACTATGTTTAACCATGACAAAGGTGGCAGCGGATTGTTTCTGAAGAGGAGAAACCGGGAGGCAGGCAGGTACAATTCAGCCCATTCCCAGTGTCTTCTATATAGATAGGCGGTTGCCCAACATTATGCCTACACTGGCAGTATGAGGCTAGCCACTGGAAGGGATCCAGTGAAAATCTACTTCAATGCCTGTTTTTGCCAAGCAGATGAATTTCCTTTGCTGAACTTCACATTGAATAGATTTTCTGTTATAGATAATTACTGCAGTATGCTGACAGTTGAACAGGAAGAAATAATCTTGCGTAGTTAATTGTTTTATTGGCTTATAATGAAAGCACCTATCAGTTGCTTAAATATTCCAGAATAAAGCCTTTAATGTTTACTATTAATGGGAAAATAATTTCAACATCAAGTTAGTTAATGAGCAGAAAGATTTAATTGTTTCTCATGTAGGTTTTCAAAGAATGTTCCATTGAAATTGACTTATTCCTTATGTACAGAACACCTTGAGCCAAACCAGAAGTAGACTCACTAAGAGCAGACACCTAAAGAATTTTAACTGAGGGTGATTTGCAACTGAAATAATTTCTCAGGCTGCTGCAGAAATTAACTTATTGCTGGTTTTTCAAGTAATTCCCAAAAAGTTCTTAACACAGAAGGCTGTTTTAAAGTTGTGTGTGTGTGTCAATCCAGTAGCTGCTAATGCATGCATATAAAGTCACTGTATAAAAGAGGGTTGGGTGGGGGACTACCTACTCCCTTCAGGGTTAGGAAATATTCTGACATTTTAGGATTAAATGAATAAGTGATTTAAAGAACTGGTCTTCAACAAATGGGTCATAGCCCAGCTAAGATGAGTTGTAGTGTTGTCATGATCACCATCTGGGGAGAGGAAAATAAGAATGAGTTTTAACAGCTCCAGAAACATAGATGTATGATGGGCTCTGCACCTGGAAAAACTGAAGGCTACCAGTTTGTTTTTAAAAGCTAGCTACAACTGTCAATGTTCAGTTCAGTCATTACATTTGTCAGGGCTCTTTTTGTAGAAAAAACCCAGCAGGAACTCATTAGCATAATAGGCCACACCCAACAGCAGAAACTCATTAGCATATTAGGCTACACCCCTGCAGCACAGCTCATTAGCACATTAGGCAGCACCCCCATGTTACCAGAAGTGTGGTCATCCAGCCACACCCACCTTTTGCTTCCTATTCTGTTTACCTTGTTTGTTGTCAAAACCCAGGGCTTTTTTTGTAGCAGGAACTCCTTTGCATGTTAGGCCACACACCCCTAATGTAGCCAATCCTAATGAGTTTCTGCTGTTGGGTGTGGCCTATTATGCTAATGAGATCCTGCTGGGCGTGGCCAACTCAGGAGACAGCCGGAACTCCGTTCCTGTGCGTTCCTGCCCAAAAATAGCCCTGACATTTGTGATGGTCCAAATAGTGGTTTGGAGAATTGCTTTATAACATCTGAACAGGCCACAATGTGGGAATGGACATAGTTAAGAGGTAGAGTGCATACTTCTCATGCCGAAGGTCCCAGGTTTATTCCCTGGAATGTGTTGGGAAGGATCTTTCTCTGCCTGGGCAGTCAGAGTTAACAATACTGAGTCAGATGGACCAATAGTTTGAAGTATAAAGAAGCTTCAAATGAATTTCCTTTGCTGAATTTAACATTGAATAGATTTTCTGTTATAGATAATTCACATAAACATGTTTAAAGATCTGACTGGAAAAAAATTAGGTCAGTAATTATATTGTATTAAAATACTTTTACTCTTTCAAAAGGTGAAACTTACATTTGAACCATCAATCTTTGAGCTGGAAGGAACATCCCAGCAGAGGTGTAAGCCACCACAATCCTCTATGAATAACCTGCTCAAATTGCTATGGAAAGACCACGACAATGACCCACAGTTCTCTATCCGAAGTATACCTCATATTATTATGTACCTCTCACTCAGATTGGACTCTGATACCTCTAAGGATGAGGTAGGTATGTACTTCTAAAATAAGTGGGAAGGAGCCAAGCCTTTGCTTATCCCGAGTACAAGCTAGTAGAAAAAAGATATCTATATATAATAACAAGGACTGTACTTATGCTGCAATTCCTACCTTCATTTAAAAGGCAGCTTCCTAGCTCATGTGGTTTTAACATTATATATAGTAAGAAGACCTGCTGAAAACTCAGAAAGCCAGAGTGGCTGTTGGAGGATGTTAGCATGTCGAAGTCACAGATGTAACTAATTTAATATCGTGATTTGGGGGTGGTTAAAAAGATATGTTTCAAACCATGGCAGCTTGATGAATGTGAGCTATTTACTTACTATCTTGGTCTTACAGAACATCCAAATAATATTTTATTTTATTTAAAACATTTTTATGCCACATTTCTACCCAGTCAGGCTCTACAAGGTGACAATCATAAGAACATTATTTTTAAAAACAATTAAAAATACAGGTAAAATTATAAAGTTCAATTAAAAACACATAAACAAAACAAACGCCAGAAAGAAGGTCAATAACCTTTATTGGGCGTATGCCAGATGAATATTTGTGATGCGGAAGTTCCAGAGTTTTGGTGCCACAACAGAGAAGGCCCTTTCTTGGGTCGCCAAGGACCTCCAAGGATGACAGGAGTGAGCAGCAAGTAGGGTCACATGGGAGAAGGCAGTCCTTAAGGTATGTTGGTCTCGTGCCATACAGGGATTTCAAGGTCAATACCAGCACCTTCAATTGAGCCCAGAAGCAAATTTGAAGCCAGTAGAGATACAACAAGACTGGAGTAATATGGTTCCTGCAACCGATTCAAGTCAGCACTCTGGCTGCAGCATTCTGTACCAACTGTAGCTTCTGGACAGTCTTCAAGGGCAGCCCCATATAGAGTGAATTGCAGTAATCTCATCTAAATGTTACCAGGGCATGCACCACAGTGGCAAGATGTTTTCCACCCAGGAAGTCGCAGCTGGTTCACCAGCCAAAACTAGTGAAAGGCACTCCTGGCCATTGCTGCTGCCTATCCAACAGGAGGCCCAGGTCCAGGACCACCCCCAAGCTATGAACTTGCTGCTTTAGGGAAAATGCAACCCCATTTAGAATGGGATAACTCATTTCCTGGGTCAGACCTTCCCCCCACCAGTAGCATTTTGTCAGGATTAATTTTCAGCTTGTTAGCCCTCATCCATTTTAAAACTTCAGGCACCTGCTAGTGGTTTCTACAGCTTTCCTAAAAGCATGAGATAGAGCTGGGTATCTTGTGCATATTGGTGGCAGCTGAGCCAGATCTCCAGATGACCTCTCCTAGCAGCTTTATGTAGATGTTGAAAAGTATGGGGGACAACATGGAGCGTTGGGGAACCCCATTGGCCAAAGGGCAGAGCAGCAATCCCCAAGCACCACACTATGAAACCTACCCTTGAGATAGGACTGGAACCACCCCAGAACAGTGTCACCCAGTCCCAAAAGACTATCCAGAAGGATACCATGATTGATGGTATCAAAATCCTCCAAGTGGTCCAGGAGAATGAACAGGGTCATGTTCCTCCTGTCTATCTCCTGGCACATGTCATCCACCAGAGCGACGACCAAGGCCATTTCAGTCCTATAACCAGGCCTGAAACCAGATTGAAATGGATCTAAACAATCTGCTTCATTTGGGGATCTCTGAAGATGACCAGCTACCACCTGTTAAATCGCCTTGCTCAAGAATGGTACATTAGGATTGGATGGTAGTTATTCAATTCTCCTAGGTCCAAAATAGTTTTCTTTAGGCATGGACACATTACTGCCCACTTCAAGGCTGGAGCAGCCACCCTTTCTCTCAGGGAGGCATTTACTGTCTCCTTGACCCAGTTTGCTAGTCTCCCCCCCCCCGAAACCCATTCAACTTAAGAGATTTCTACTGACCCTACTGATTGTGCCACCATCCCCCTTCTCATTCTGCTCCCCCAGACACATCTCTGGCCAGCAAGTTAGACAAGACAGACAACCACCTTACAGTCCAGCTCTCACTTAGATCTGAATAGGACAAACAACCCCTGAGACCAGCTCTCACCTGGCTCTGGATAGGGTGTAAGCACAGAGACAACCAGCTCTTAACTGCTATGAAACAGCAACAGAAAGGCATACCTCCGGCTCTCGTCCTGTATAAAAATGGAGGTCCAGGCTCAGCTTGTCTCCACATGCAGGAGGCCAGATTCTCCCATCCACTGCAGCTCATCACAGGATTTAAGACTGCAGTCCTAAGACAACTTTTCTGGGAGTAAGGCCCACTGAACAAAATATGACTTGCTTAGGATCGTTCTCTAAAAGTTGTCTATAAGGTCTGCATGCGGATTTTCACAGCTTGACCTGTCTAATGTTTACAATGGGTTAGATTCTTCCAGTTCATTCTGCTGGTGCTTTCCTTTGGCACATGCAGTGCCTTTCTACCAGATGATTGCACTCATGCCAGTAGAATAGAATGGTAGGATGCAACCCACTGTGTGTCCTTTATCTGAACAAGTGATGCCAGTACCAGTAAAAGTGCCATGTTCATCTAAAACAAGAAATTCAGGAGATCTTGTTGGCATCATACATTTTGAAGCACGGTATTGGCCCATGTTTTAATAATTTGAGTCTGAGTAAATTTCATGGAGGTTACAGTCTTATTTTCTACAAGAGCAGGACTGAACACAGTTCTCCTTTCATAGTGAAAAGACACTCTCATTTAGAAGGCATCCATTGTTGAAGTCCAATTCTTGACAGTTTTAGGAGTCTTTCAGCTGGCCAGTTCTATGCAAAGAATTCTTTTCAGTTCCTTCTCTTAGTGCCAAGGTTCTGCCTATTGAAGGAAAGGGCTTCTTAAATGTTCACTGCACTAGAAATGAAGATAACTGAAATAAAAATGTAATTTATTTACTGTCAAAACTATTTAATAGAAGAGTACTTTGTTCAGAAAACTCTGCTTTCACATCAGTGTCTCTTCACTTAAGTCCATTATCCCTGGCCTTTGGAGCCATTAGACATTACACTTTTCAACCTACTTTGAAGGTGACTAATCTTATGGAATGATACAGAGTAGATCTTACCAGCCCAGTAATTTTTACAGGCTGCTGTTAGGATCTTTTGTTGTGTTTTTCTTTTCCTGGGAAAGAGTATAGATATTTCACAAATGAACATTGGAAAGTTCCTTTGTTCATAAGAGGTACAAGAGGATTTTTTCCTTCCATTTCATGCAATGTTGCAATTAGAAAAGACGTTTTTCTTCCTTGTTGAGACAGACTGGTGCATAGAATCCTGGTTGTTAACAGGGCATTTTAAAATGGATAATTAAACTGGATGAAAGGGGCACCGACCTGCCAGTTCTCTGAATAGCGAGATTCAAAGCTCTTTTTAATGTATTTGAAAAGAGAATTTTCCCAACAGAGTTTTGGCCATGCCTGGATAGAAAGAGGAAGGGGAGGTTCAGGACATAGCATCGTTAGTAAAGAATGATAATTAAGTCTGAAATTGCATGTCTTCATCTCTCGCGCGCGCTCTCTTTTAGAAAAATGTCTTTTTTAAAAAAATGCTTGTTGGAATGCAATTCTATGTAGATTTTTTGTATTTTGTAAGAAAAAAATTAGCAAGGCTCATAAATGACACTGTCTCTCTTGAGTGATAGAACTTTGTTACATCGTATTTCCGTTTATGTCCATAGAGGAGACTTGTCAAGGTTTCAAAAGTCATGAATTTTCAGTTACTAAAAATGTAGAACTTTCTTCCTTAAAGAACATTTAAAAAATTAAAACTTGAGAAGACCAGTGTGTACATTATTTTCCGGAAGCATTTTGTCTTTATGATGGCTACTAGGATCCTACACATTTGCTCCTATCTGTTAATTAATGGTCAGGCTCAAAGAGATATTACCATATATGGACAGAGGGATTAATAAAAAGATTATTATATCTGGTACTTACTAATTTATATGCTTTCTATGATAAATACTGTGTTTAAGGATGCTGTGCATTTCTAGCAGGAACAGTACAAACATTCTTTGTTTTCAGACATGAGAACAAATTACTAACCATGTCTTGCATGGCTTCATCTAAAATTAATTCTGCAGCACTCCTTTCTGAATAAATATACTCATTGTCATTTTTGGCAGCAAGAAATCCTTTACCAATACCCCATATCAGAAGCTTCCCAAAAAATGAAAAGTGTAAGAGGAATATTTCTAACGTTGTGTGACATACTGGAAAATGTGACAGGAGCTCATATAATCAGGTAACAGTTGTTTGGGGGTATATTTAATTCAGATATTATTTCTTGCTGGTTGTTTAGTAGGGACAAGTTTTAAAAGTGTTGCTTTGAGGAAGGTACTATTTGCCTGCAAGAGAGAAGCTGCTGGTTGGATATGCATATAAGGGAATAATAAAAAGCTAATTGAAAAAACCTTTAACAGATAATTTTTATAGCTGAAAAAAGCCAAAGTTGCAAGTAAGGGGGAAATTGTGTTTATTTTTTAAATAGTGGTGGCGGCAGCTGTTTCCCTAATTTTAACTCTAAAACCGGGGGGGGGGGATCAACTGGCTCTGCAGCTATTACTTTTGCTCTGGGGAGAATACCCTAGCCTGTATTTTTCTGTGCCAGACCACTTTTGTGATTGTTCTCTTCTTTTGATTGGATTTTTATAGTTCATCTATGTTTCTGTGTGGGAAATTAATTCATGTGGCTTACTGGAAGGAATCTGACAAGCTCCTTGTAATTGGCCTCCCAGCTGAAAGGTAAATTTACAAGATATTTTGGATTGTTTCTCCCTTAGAGCCAAACTAAACATGACAGAACTTGTGGCCACCACAAGTTTGCCATCACCATTTTAAAGTGATTTTAAAATGGCTTGAAGGTGCAATGCTGATTGGGCCCATGAGACAGAGCTCTCCCCCACACACACACACAAACGCTCCACGGCTTTTCAGCTGCCCAAAAGACCACAGGGGAGCACACACATGTGGTTTTTTTAGCACTTAAAGGGGGGAGGGCTCCATTCTATAGGCCCAATCAGTACCAAGACCTCACATCATTTAAAAATCACTGTAAAATGGTGATGGTGAGCTTGTGGTGGCTACAAGTTCTCCATTACATTTAGTTTGGCCCTTAATTTAGGCTACAATTTCATGTACTACCAGTATTTCAGAGTAACCTCCATCTAACTTAGTGGAACTTACTTCCAAGTAACATGAATATGATTGTGATTAATTTAGTTAAATTACGTTTCATAAATCTTTTTTGAAATAATTTATATTCAATAATTTAGTTAATTCAATCTTTGTGAATAGCTCAAGTTATTTCTAATATTAAGTGAGTAGAAGGCATTCACAGTGGTGGATCTTTTCTTTTCTCACCCTTCCACAGCAGCCCTCTGTTTCCCCCATCCAGCTATTGCTGGGTCACTCATAGGGTGCCACGTCCCCTCACTCCTATGGCATGGGGATTTGGGGGGCATTCTGGGGTGGGCATGACATCCCCAACACGGTGATGTCACCCAAAATGACATCATCGCATCGGCGACATCACGCACAACTCTCTGGTTTTGAGGGAAAACTCTATGGGTTTTTTCCTTCAAAACCATAGAGTTTGCCCAAAACCAGAGCATCACTGCATGATGTCTTTGGTGCAATGACATTACCTGGAAGAGACAACAATGTCCCTGTTTGGGGGTTGGTTTTCCCAAACTGGTAAACGGCGGATTGAAGCACCCAAAAGCAGGGGAACCCCTGCTGGGACCTGGGGGCTGGCAACCCTAGTCATTCATGGACGAAAAGCCACAGGGTATAGTGTTGGGTGGAGAGCTACAGTGGTTAGGGTGAAATGTCCTCCACTTTTCCCTAGTATCAGCAGCATTCCAGCTATGCTGTGCTTCCTCCATCAAGTTTTCTGTTAGTGTAGGAGCAAGATGGAGAAGATTTTGCCTGATTCCCCTCTTTACTACAGCCCTTATTCCTCTTGCTACAGATGGGCATATGGGGGCAATGACTCAGTATATGTTATGTCACTTCTCTGAATTCCCAGCTTATTTTTTTAAATGAAAGTCTCTAGCAATGTTCCCTCTAAGCTGTGGAGTCTTGTGAGCAGAAATTCTACTTTGTGAGCTACTGGCATTAAAGTTGTGAGCAAGCAATTTGGCTACTGCATAAATTACTTTGCTCTGGAGCCATCCTTCCTGAGCTAAGACAAAAATGTGTGAGCTGGAAGGCTAAAAAACTGTGAGCTGGCTCACACTAACTCAGCTTAGAGGGAACATTGGTCTCTAGCCCTTTTCATTATGAAGGTACAAGGGAAGTTGTGCAAGCATTTTTATCTAACTGCTTGAAAAGGAGGACGGAATCCTTAATTCCTTCCTGAAAAAATTTCTTCTCTATTCTGTCCCGTAACCTTTTTGGCATGGGACTGGGTGCTTGCTGCCCTCTTGTTTAAAGAGGACATAAAGAATGTCTGTAATGACACATGAGCAGATCAGACAGAAAATTGCAATGAGATTTATACTATTTTGGAGTTACCTCCTCTCTTCACTATGGAATTTTAACTCAGGGGTTGGTGGGACCATTGAAGGAGGGAAGGTACAGAACAATGAATGCCCATTTTCACTCAGTGTGATTGTTAATCCATAACTGCAAACCATTTTGCAGCAACTTGCCTGTGTGAAAGGATGCTTTCCTCTGAGCATGTGTAGTACACCTTTTATTCACCACTGCCAAGCTTCTGTCTTCACTCCCCACATTCATGATATTAAGTCTAAAAGAGGTATAATGTTCAGGCAGGCCTAAATCTCAGATTTCTTCTCATCCAAATTCTCACTATAGAAAAAGAAAAGGGTTCTGGATGAAGGAGACTTGTCTAGCCTAACCACTCCCAAGGCCCCAAGTACTTTTATGTCCCCTCAGTGTGAAGTTTCTAGCTATAGGCCTGGTGGCTTCTTGTCTACTGGGATCCCATATCCAACATTAATGCCTTTTGGGGACTGCTGTCAATAAGAGTTATGATCATGTGTACCTAATATTCATGCAACCACAAGACCTAACCCATTATCTACAACTAAGGTATTCTTACATTTTCCGCAACAATATGAGTGGTTACATTATGTAACAAAACCATTGGTAACTGGAAACTTTAAATTGGCATCAAGTAAAATCTCACAAAAAGAATGTGCAGTATTTGCCTTGCCGTTAGTTTATGTATCTTGCTGTACAGATGTCTTATTGTATTTATTGGTTTAAGGGTAATCTACCTTGAGGGTTTTTTAAAAAGGAAAGCAGACTATAAATGCTGGGAAATAAACAAATCCTTCCTCTTTCTATTTTGAAAGAACTTTTTATGTTTTGGATGTGGTCTTGAAAGTTGGCAGACTGCATAATTGTAGTATGCATGATTCTTCCAAGTAAGCTTTCTTCTAAACCCCACAGTGTTCATTAAGTGCACATTTGATTTTTACCCCATGTTGTGTTACGTATCTCTCAGTGACCATTAATAACTATTGAATTTTGTTGGATTATGTACAATAAAACGAAGAAACCTGATCTGGCTTCATCAGTATTCATTTAAATGTTGAACTCGTCTTGCTGACCAGGATTCACTACCGCATCTTTTTTGTCTAGCTATAACTTTTTTTCTTCTTTATATTGGCTCAGAGTCAGGATAGTTGATTCAAGGCTCCCTGTCTACAAAGCCAGTTTTAATAAGGAAGCCCCTGCCAAATAGAATCTTTATGTTCACCCAGAAAAGGATTGTAAAAACAGACTGAAGTTTGTTAATTACTGATGCCAAACATAAATGCTCTCCTTTACATTATAACATTGTATTTAAGGATGCTTTTACTCTTCTGTCTTATTTTTATTATTTGGCAGTTCCTAAATTTAGATGAGCATATGTGTTAGGGTGATGTAATGCTTTTAACTCAGTTGAAATTATGGGACGAATTAAAAGTATCCCTTCAGGAGACTGCAGATGTGTTTTTTTGTTCTTATCTACAGGACTGCATATTACACAATGTTTTATATTGTTATTTTTAAGAAGTCTTGTGATAAATATATTGCTCCCTGGATCGGACATTTGGCAAGCATTCCTGATGTTCAGAAATTGAAATTTTTATTTTCCTGCAAATTAAAAAATTGCAGGGTAGATGTTGCTTTATTTTGCTATATAATTTCTGTACATCTGACAAGATGAGTTTATGTTAAGGATGTATGGGCTTTAGGCTGTTAAATCAAAGGAAAATAAAGTATTCCTTTTATTATACAATATGTCCATTTTTCAGATTAGATTGTTCTGGTTTTCTAGTGTACCTCTTTCTCAGCTAAGGAACATGACTGCAGATGTTGTCCGAATGTTAACGTTCATGTATGGTTCTCTTGACAGGTAAGCACCTTAAAGATAATTTGCTTCATAGTAACTATTCATTCTGCAGAGTTGAGATCTGTATACCAGATATGGTGCTTATAATTTGGGTCTAATGGGAATTTTGCTCTGTTCCATGGAATAATAGTTCACAAATTATTATTAATTTTTTTTGTAAATACTTTTATTTCCCTCTCCTAAAAAGGAGAGAAGTTTCGCTTATAGAGAAAAATAGGGGGGAGGGGTTATATAGAGGGACAAAGAAAAGTGTTGTGCTGTTAAATACTGGTATGTTAATCTGTTAGTATTAAAGTTAAACTCCACCTCAAAGTTTATGACTTCTTCTGTAGTTGGATAAGCGTCCATTTCTTCTTAGTCTTTTCAAATCTGGCAGTTAATATGTTAGTAAAGTCCTTTTGGCGTTAGTATATCTTCTTTAGCACATCCAGATAAGTCTTTATTTTTTAAGATGTTTTTCTTTTTTCTCTTGTAAGTTATATTTTAGACCTCCGGCTGCTCCTTTTTCTTCCTCTTCTTTCACCTCCCCTTCCGAGCTGCTGCTTTCGTCGCTTTTCCCTGACATCCACTCGGCAAGTTCTGCTTCCTCTTCTGTGTTGGCGTGCCTCTTCAAAAATTCTTTTGCCTTCAAGATAAAGTCCGTCTTTTCTCTTCTGTCTTTAAATTTACAGACCAGTCCTTCTGGCGTTAACCACCTGTAGCTAATTTGACGTTTTTGTAAGAACAAAGTCAGTCCTTTATATTCTTTTCGCTTCATTCTAATTTCAAATGGAATATCCTTCAAACTCGGATTGATTGTTCTCCAATTTTCAAGGGTGTTGCTGATACTGCTTTTAATATTTGATCCCGGAGACGTTGCTTGGTAAATTTCACCACCACTTCTGCTGGCAGCTTGTTCTTCTTCGTGAAGTTGGAGTAGGCTCTATAGGCCAAATCCATCTCTTCTTTTATATTTTCCGCTTCGCTGCCAAATCATTGATAACTTTTTTAACTGTAAAGGGACCAATGTACTTCCAGCCCAGTTTTCGACTAGGGCGCAGCACCTGAATGTTTTTTGTAGACACATAGACCGAGTCTCCAGGCTGTAGAGCCCAACCCTCCACCCTTCTCTTATCAGCCTGCGTTTTGTACGCTTCCTTGGCAGCATTTAAAGTCTTACAAAGGAGTGGCCACGAGTCTTTCAATTTTTTACACCATTGAGCTGCATCCCCCTGCCCCAAGTCAATGTCCCCTTCCAAAAACGGAACTGGTGGGCTGTCATAACCATACAGTGCTTTAAACGGTGACATTCCAGTAGAAGAGTGGCAGGTGTTGTTATAACAGAATTCGGCCAGAGGCAACAGATCGACCCAGTTGTCCTGTTGATAATTAGTGAAACAATGGAGATACTGTTCCAAGGTCTGATTAACCCGTTTCGTCTGCCCGTCAGTTTCTGGGTGGTAAGCACTGCTCAGGCCCCGTTCCACCCCCATCAGTTTTGTCAGCTCCCCCCAGAATCGAGAAACGAACTGTGTCCCGCGGTCGGACACCACCTTAGCCGGGAGCATGTGCAAACGGACAACATGTAAAAGAAAAGACTTGGCTTTTGCCATGGGCAGTAAGGCAAATGGAATGAAATGTGCCTGTTTGGAAAATAAATCCACAACCACCCATACAACAGTCATCAATTTACTCGGGGGAAGATCAGTAATGAAGTCCATGGAAATTACTTCCCAGGGCCGACTCGGGGTGGGAAGTGGGTGTAACAATCCTTGGGGTTTCCCCGGTCTAGGGTTACTCATGCCCCCCCAATCTGCGTGTGGGTGATCCGGCTCCGGGAGCTTACCCGAGAGTCGGTCACCAGGCGCGCGGCCATAACCAGAAAACCGTTCACAAATTATTTTTGAAAGTCCCCTTCATTTCAAAAAGACGCTGAAACTGCAGACTGGAAGGTGTGTAGCTTGGCAGTTTGAGACCCTAGTGTTGTGTGACGGAGTGAGTTCCCGTCTCTGGCCCCAGCTCCTGCCAACCTAGCAGTTCAAATGCACGAAATTGCAAGTAGATGAGGAGGTACCGCTTTGGTGGGAAGGTAACAGTGTTCCGTGCGGCTTGGCATTTAGTCATGCCGGCCACATGACCGTGGAAACGTTTTCGGACAGCGCTGGCTCTTTGGCTTAGAAATGGAGATGAGCACCGCCCCCTAGAGTAGGATTTGACTAGCTTTCAAGCAAGGGAAACCTTTATCTTTATGCAACATGGGTATCTTCTTTGAGAAGCTCATGTTCAAAGATTTCTTGGACTCACAGATATAGTTCTAGGCCATAATGCATAACTGCTTATGACTCAATTCTGGGATCTGGGACAAACCTCAGTTTGTTGTCATTAGCTAGTTTTTGAGCTTATGCACTTCCTCCTATTATATGAAAAGGAAAAGTGGAAGTCTTCAACTCTCTGCAGCAATTTTGAAATCCAAATGTGGGCATTTGCACTCATAGAGGTTTGTTTCTTCTCCAGTAACTAGGGTTCTAAACCAGGACTGGGCATTGTAACTAATTTGGGGTAGCTGAAGACTTTGCTCTTTGTACAAGGAGTGGAGGGAGGAATCATATAAGCTCAACAACTGTCTAGGTTTCTGTCCATCATGAACAAACTGAAATTTGTTCATTTCAACTGAGTTCCTCTTATGTCAAGAAATAAGTTGCTAAGGTTTAATATGCCTACATACTACCATGCCTGTGCATATTTTGGATACAAAAGCTTCTTGAATATTTCACCCACCTCTAGACTCCTGGGGTTATATGTTCAAACATGAACCCTGTTGAACCCAGTCCCACTGCTGCTCAAGCAAATGCAAAAAAAATGGCTTATATGGTTCTTTGGATCCTGGCCAAATTCTAAATGTTGCAAAGCATGTTCTGTAAACATATTTTTTTAAATTTACTTCATTTATACCCCAACTTTCTCCCCAGTGCGGACCCAATGTAGCTTATATTACACAGTCTCCTCTCCTCCATTTTATCCTCACAACACCCCTTGATGTAGGTTAGTCTGAGAGTGTGTGACTGGCCCAAGACCACCCAATGAGCTTCCGTGGCAGAGTGGGGTTTCTAACCAGAGTTGTCCCAGATCCTAGTACAACATTCTAACCACTAGTTTGATTGATTTCATTTTTTCTTTATATTGATTAAGCTCTGTTGTTCTAGCATAAGTGCATAGATGTAGCCTGCCTTCAAAGGTTGTGTCTTCAATTATTTAAGTATAATTTCTGCAGCCTTTGCAGAGGCATAATTTGAAAAATCTTATTTTAAGTAACTTGCATGGAAATTTTAAACGTGTATAAGTTGTTTTCCTGCATTTCTTGCACACTTAGAAACTCATCTTCCATAGACCTGCATGACATAGCCACCCCCTTTGTTTTCTAGGGGGTCAAGCCCAAATTAACAGTCCTGATATAAAGCGTCTTCTATTAATGCAAAGGTTAAGCAAAACCAGTGCATGTTTTTGTTGTTCTGATGTTTGTTTTTTGTTCAGTGCTTTTTGTCAGGTGGAAAACATTTCGAGGATGGATCACTTTTTCTGCCTGTTCTTCCATCAAGCACTTCAACCTGCCGGGCTCCACTCAAGGATCAGCCCTGGTTCCCATCACTATGATGCATGCAGTGCATTATTTTTATACAACTTCCCTGGAGTACATTGGCTGTCACTGCCGCAAGAAATCAAGGTGATCCCACTTGCACTTTTAGTACAAGAAGACATATTACATTAATTAAACTTCATAAGTGCATGAGGAAATCTTCATAGGATTGAGTCTTACTGCTTAAAATACTGCTATTCTGTCACTATTCTAGCCTAGAATATGTATGGATTGTAGAGGTCAGTCTGAGCTGGCATCATGTTATTGTTGCATAAGAAGGTCCACTGGACTGTTTTGGATTGCTAGCTATGGGGGGGAATGCGCAGATCTGCCCTCACAGAGGAGGGAGAGCTTGTACCTGAATAAACCTTGGCACAGGCTCCTCATGGCCCGGGGCTGCTGGGAGAAGGGGGCGGGGCTTTTTGCATGTGCCCGCCCCCTGGGCTCTTTACTGCTGGAGCTCTGCTCCTGTGTGCTCCTGCAGGAAATAACCCCTGCCAGTCCTCAAGGATCCACAGAGCAGGGCTCACAGTTTCAAGTTTCCAGAAAATTAAAGCACTCCCTGCTTATAAAAGCCTGTTATACTTCAGTCTAAAAAAATGCTAAACACAGTAGACTGGATCCAGAAATCCACCATTGGACTCAAGGGCTGTGTTACCCAAACTGGTCCCTGACAAGGGGAATTTGATATAGAAGGAATTCCAGAAAAGTATAATGGAAAATCTTTTTGATTGTGTATACCAGGGTGTATCTCAGTAATGGTACCCCACCCCACCCCCAAAAAAATGCAAGGAAAGAGAGAGGAAGTAGTTGTAAGCACACACAAATAAATTTATTGTATACAAAAAATGAAAAATAGAGAAAAACTACACTAAGTCCCTGAGAACTGATTCCCCAAGCACTCATACACCAGCAAGCGAGCACACCTTGTTAGAGGGAGAAGGGAGGAAATTGGGAAGATTCAAGGAGGAGTGTGCAACCTTAAATCCAGGGGCTTGCAGTTTGAAGAAGTCTGTGGTAGGGATGTACATTCGGTTCGTTTTAACCAAACACACCCCTGAAAATAGCCCATTTGGTTCCCTTTCAGGCAGCTGCAGGCCGAATCAGATTCTCTAATCTGATTTGGCCTGCCACCGAAAGCCGCCGCTGAAATTCGGCAGCTGTCCAAAAAGCGGCCACCAGCCAGGGAAGGTAGGGGGGCTCTGCAGCCTTCCCGGGCTCGCCTGCTTTGGCGGGCGAGCCGGGGAAGGCACAGGGAGGCTAGCTTTCAGGGCCCTTCACTGAAGGGTAGGCAAATTGCCTTCCCTTCAGTGATAGGAAACCCCCCTTCAGGGGGGGATTATTATACCCTATGGGGAAAGTCCCCATAGGGTATAAGTGAGCCGAATGTGATTCGCCCAGCTGAATGCCACCCCTATCGGCTTGCATTGCCAAAAGTGGCATTCACACCCCTAGTCTGAGGATTGGTGCAGCTGAGGTCCAAGGAGCCAACAAAGCAGGAAGAAAAGCCTTCAGAATGCAGTGGGGTTCTCAGTGGGAAGCCATAGTTTCCCATAGTTTCGAGGCCCCTTGCACGCCTTTGGTACCGGGTTTAGTGAGTTTTGACCTACTCAGTCTGGAGGAAGCTGACAGGTTGCTTGTGTCTGTGCACCCAACCACATGCGATCTGGATCCGTGCCCCTCCTGGCTTATTAAAGTGGGCCACGAGGGGTTTCGAGGGGCTCTGCAGGAGATTGTCAGCAAGTCCCTCACTGAGGGACAGTTCCCCAGAGCACTTAAAGACGCAATGGTCCACCCTCTCCTGAAAAAGCCATCTCTGGATCCGGCCGAATTGGCCAACTATCGGCCGGTGTCCAATTTGCATTATTTGGGCAAATTGATTGAGAGGGCGGTGGCGACACAGTTACAGGGTTACCTGGATGAGGCTTCTGTCCTCGATCCCTTCCAGTCCGGCTTTCGCCCTGGTCACGGGACAGAGACAGTGCTGGTTGCCTTGACGGACGACCTCCATAGGCATCTGGATCGGGGCGGTGTGGCGGCACTGGTGTTGTTAGACCTGTCGGCTGTGTTCGATATGGTCGACCACCAGTTGCTGGCCCGCCGCCTCGCCGACGTGGGGATTCAGGGGCTTGCCCTTCAATTGTTTGTCTCCTTTCTCCAAGGTCGGGGACTGAGGGTGGCGATAGGGGACCAGCGATCCCAAAGGCAAGCCCTTGAGTGTGGGGTGCCCCAGGGAGCCATGTTGTCCCCGATG